AGAAAGCTTCTTCAAAGAGCACATTTAATATCAGTTTTCGGAGAAAGCAGCACTTTAGTATTCGAAAAAACCAAAATCGGAGTAAATCATCCCTCAGGTTTCTCCGAAATTCGGAGTAAATCGTTCTGATTCTTATCTTTTCCCAAATTTGGGAGTAAATCGTTCATATTTTTTAAAAAAGTATGGGGGATGAGCGAATGTTGTTTCTGAAATAAGCTAGTGCAGTGAACTGATTGATCTATGCAGTATGCATTTAAATACTATGCTTTTCACTTAACGCTTCCATTTTGGATGAATTTCTGTGCACAGAGCGACAATAACTCGCTCACTTTTATTTGTTAAATTCAGCCGCTAAAATGAGTGATCAACATTTCTCACACATCAGTCAGTGATTTTACTTTGAGCAAACAAGTCACCGACATGTAAAGGTTACAAAGTGCATCTCGATGATTAGAAGCAATATGGTTCTTAGATTTGCTCCTAAGATAAGATTATCGAGAATGATTATTATAAATCCTATATGTATGCGCCCGTAACATTTGGTCTGACGTTTATCATCAGTTGATCAGTTTTTTCATGATGTTGATCATTTTTTATCATAAAACAAAGAATGAATAAATAAAGCGATATAAGAAGGAATTTTATCCTACCTTTATCTTTTGTCTTGCGCTCTTGAAATAAACATCAGAATGTCATTATCTACAGACTTCAACCAATTTCTTTTTACATTTAATGAAAGTATAGACGATTTTGTCTGACAGTCTCGTACTTTTATTTCAGATAATTCTTCTCCTATCAAATGCAAGCAATTCAAACTCTTCTTGCACATTCATCTGGTTACACAGATGTGTGTTACACTACAGATGGAAGGTAAGGCCTCCTGTATTGTTCTGTAAGAAAATTATCCTCGTTTTTCACTATTCCAATTTAGTTCAATCTTAACGTCCGGAATAGATGGTGATGTTCGAATATGGACATCAATGAACGAAGATGATAAAAAAGATTTACGAATTGCTGACGAATGTCATGCTGTAGCATTTTGTGTAAGTTTTAAGCAATCCAATATTGTCAATGATCGATTATTTTAGTCTTTTCCAAGTACTTTTCTCAACTTGTATTGCAGCGTAAGAGAGTACATCCTATTTTGATAAATTTAGTGGAAAGATAGTCGAATGAAATTAATCTTTTTTCTTCGATTTCACTTTTACTTTAGAAATTTTACTAAAGTAACATAATAGATATATCGAAGGTGCTTCATACACAGAGAAACTAAAATACAATCAATAGAAATAAGCAATCTTAATGTTTCTTATACATTCGATCACTAGTGCTTTGCGGAGATTTTTATCTTTTAACTTGCGTGATGCTTCATTTCTGATGAAAAAATAGCGAGTTGTCTTAAAAATTTTTGCCACTGCGGAGCTAACAATCTGAAGAGATTTTTTTTTCGTGATTAGATGATCGCTTTGTAAACAACCTTTGATCATTTCAAATACGTCTCGTGTCTCGATCTCTTCGCGTTATCAGTGCAGTATAAAGAACTTCTTCTCTAATGTTACATTAGACAAATTAATCTAGTGTTCTAGTAAGGAAGAAAAAAACAACATTTTCTGTCAAATATTTTTTGAGAATTTTTTAGAATGATAAGGTGTATATCGGTACCTCTCGTTATGAAATAGAAGTTCGTTTATATCCTGATGGTGAACTAGAACCAACGATTGCACATTTCACTCAACCTGTTACATGCTTACAAATTGAGCAAAATACAATTTATGCTGGAACAAGGTAAGTATTAACGGAAAGGAGACAATATTTTTTATTGTCCAACTAGACGTTTATATGCGTCACATGATTTTGAATCAAGAATACCAATGTCATACTTTCATCAATTTGCGATTGAATAAGAGAATTAGAATAAAGTTGTCGCACAAAATATGTGCTCAGACGTATTTTTCGATCAGAATTGGATCGGTAACTATTGCATGAAATTGAAATGTGTATTATTTAAATTTGTTTGTTTAGAGATTTTAAAGTATGTTCAATTGATTTAAATGACAATCGTCTTAAATATTTTGATGGTCATCAAGCACCTATTCTATCTGTACAACCACATTTAACCAAATATTACTTAGTAAGTGATCTTTACATTTTTTTTTCTCTCGGATACAATGAAGTGTTATTATTACAGGCTACATCGTGTTGTGATGGTTTTGTACGTATATTTAATATGAACGATCAAACAATTATTAAACAATTTGATTTAATTAAAAAATCAAATGATATCGAGTATGAAATTGTTTATTTATCACCTCTTCTAGTTAACTATTATTCTTGTTTTTCATGTTAGTAATAGTTCAACTTTAGCAAGAATGGATTGGGATCGATCCACTGATGTGAGATTAACAACTAGTACTTGTTTATTACATCAACAAAACTGTATAGTTTGTTTAGATATTAGCCATACCAGTACAAAATAGTGTGACATTTTATGATACAACAACATGGACAATCAAACAAAAATTCAAAGATGATACAATCACAGATGTAAGAGAAGTTTTAAGTGTTTGTTACATTTGCTACAACATTATATCTCGCATTGTTCGAATTTTACTTAGCTAAAACATCAGAATGTTGATAAGATGTTTGAATTGTTCCCGTTGTTTCGAATGAGAAATAATTCTACCACTTTATAGAAGCTTTTCATAGCATTTGTTGAAATAGAAAATATTATGTTGGCAAAGAGTAGCTAAAGAGTTTAATGTCATCATTTTAGTTTGTTAATCTTGTTCGTTATTCATCTTCTTCAAAATATTTGGCTGTTGGCTATGTTAATGGACAAATATCAATTTTAGAAAAACAAACATTAAAAATAATTATTACGTAAGTCAGTTGAGTCAGATTATCTACTTCGATTTTTAAAGTATTAAAATGTCATGTATTTTTATTTAATCACTTTTTTTATCTTTAGCTATACAACTGGCAAAAAGAAGGCGATTTGTTCCCTTGCCTGGAATCCAAACAATGATGATTCATTTACATTTGCAACTATTCAAGTAGTTATATAGAACTTTTAAGTGATCTATTATAGTTTCACAGACTTATCTTTACAGGGCGACTTTGGTATTGTTGATATATCCGATTCTATACTAGAACAACAGGTTGAATAAGATGACTTGTTTTCATGTTTATTTTGTTATTAAATTCGAAATATTTTCCTTTATTAGATGTCTTCTATTGAACAACAACCAAAATCAGTATTAAAAAAGAAAATAGACAATGAAGACGGTACAGTAATGAAAGTGCAATTGAATATCACTTATAATTTCTGCTCTTCTTTTTAGACACACTTGAAAAAAGTGAAATACCAATAATTGATCTGGAAGAAAATGAGGAAGAAGACGAGATTCTTGGATTCGTTGATGATATTAGTTCTTCACCTAAAGCGGTAACATCTGTAAAACCACCAACAGTCGTTCAAGAAATAATTCATCATGGTTATGAACCGCCAGAATTACAAGAATCGTTTCAACCGACGTCAACCTCCAAATATCTCGATACAAGATTTATGGTAATGAGAATAGAAATTTATTTCTAACTTTTATTGCTATGAAAATTCATTTTTTTTCTATGTAACGATAGTAAATAGATTAAAATATCTTCGTTAAATCTAGATTTGGAATAGTGTGGGTGCAATAACGTGTTATTCATGTGATGATCAAAATTCAATTCAAGTAACATTTCATGATGTTACATTTCATCATGCTATTCATATAAATAACACAATTGGCTATAAAATGGCCTCACTTTCCAATCAAGCGGTTTTACTAGCAACTTCAAAACAGTTTATGTGTCTTCTCTATCAATCGTGGGATACACAGAATGAATGGACAATGCAAATTACAAATGGTCAAATTGAAGCAATAACTCTAGGTGATCAACTTATAGCTATTGTTACAAGTCAACGTTTAATACGATTTTTTACTCTATCCGGTATACAACAGCAAATCGTTTGTATACAAGGACCAATATTATCGATATGTGCACATAAACACACATTCTGGGCTATATATCACTCGACCATGGGTAAAACAAGTAGAATATGTTTTTTAATGAACAGATAGTTAAATGTGAATTTTAATTTTCTTTTAGGTTTACCAAAAGAGACCGCTCTTTCTTATATTTATTTAGATACAAAGAAAAATATTTATCTAGAAGGTTCATTACCATTCACACCAAAAAGTAAAGTAGGTTATTCATTCATAACATAATTATTTATTTGATCGGTCATAGTTGAAATATTATTATTAAGCAGCTTTTTTCGTCTAAACTAGTCCCATTAATAATTCATACGTTTTTTTGTACATTTTTAGTTAACGTGGATTGGGTAAGTTGAATTATATGAAAATAAGTTGATCATTATATTTACACTGGCAAGAGAACCACTTCAGGTGTTACATCGCTTTTTTACGCGAAATCTACATGATTAGGGTAGTCAATTGTCCTGATCACGAATCTTAGAGTTATACTTGTTCGTATTTGGATCAGGACTTGCGATGAGATTCTTTATAATCTGAAAAATAGTAAATGCGTTTTTGTTAGTGCCAGATTGTAGAGGACATCGCATTACCCATGTCCATACTTTTTTCGGCTAATGATCAAATTTTCAATTTTTTAATGAAGGTATCGATTTCTAGTGAAATTCAGCGTCTATATGCAATTCGATATCTTCATTAAAAAATTGAAAACTGGATGATTAGCCGAAAAAACGATAGACATGCGATGTCCTCTACAATCTGGCGCTAACAAAAACGCGTTTGCTTTTTCAGATTTTAAAGAATCTCATCGCAAGTCCTGATCCAAATACGAACAAGTATAGCTCTAAGATTCGTGATCAGGACAATCAACTGCCCTAATCACGTATGTTTCTAGGAAAAAGTGATGTGACATCTGGAGTAGTTTCCTCTTGAGTTTATTTTCTTATAATAGCTAAGATTATTTTGTTCTAGTTTTTCTGATCAAGGTAACTGTTTTTATTTGGATAAAATTGGTGAATTAAGGTTGTTGAAGCGTACGAAAACGCTAAATATGCAACCAATTTATATTATGAATATTAAACAAGAAGTAAGAACGTTGTATTTTTTTTCGTGAAAAGTATTGTTTTCTATATCTCAACAAAAAACGACAAAATCGATTTATACTGCTGATTTATCTTAAATTAATCGGATAAACATCATGTCATAGTTTTTAGCTATTTTAAACATCTTAATGCACTTTCTAGGGTGAAAAACATGGTGTGTCTTACTGGTTAATTGGTATAGATGAATCAAATGGTGGTTTTCTTCGGACAATTTCATTACGTGGTCAATCATATCCAGATCTTGTTCCATGGCCAATTGTTTCTATGGTCCCAATACAATTTGGACTATGTGAATTAGATATTGATAAAACAAAATTAGAGAGTGATTATTTGAAAATAAATCTACTTGGCAATAAACAAGACGAAGATTTTATATTTAATGAACGACAATGTTTAATGAAAATGTTTGGAGTACGTATGTGTTTGATCTAAATTTTTACTGACATTGTTTATTAGTGTTCGATGATAACAAGTACATTGTTCTCTTCTCATTTTCAGTTCGAATTCAAACAAACAATTTATTCTTTTTTTTGTTTAATTTATTTCTAGTTAGCATGTAAATCGAATCGTGATTATCGTGCCTATGAATTATGTACATTAATGGATATTTGTACAATTGAATTAGCAATTAAATATGCCAGTCGTTCAGGAAAAATGTCATTGGCACACCGTATTAATCAATTATTAGAAGAAAAAAATAATGAAATGACAATAGCAACATCAACAATTTTAGATGAAGATGATTCACCATCAATGACAATTAATGATGCAATAAATGATAAAGACGACAATGACAATGTTGAATTTGTTGAAGAGGCATCAATCCAGATAAATGAGGAAGTCGTATCACGGCCTAACCAAGGTAAATAGAAAAATTTTCATTAATTGTTTATCTATTGTTTTATTTTTCAAATTTAAGATTATTCTCCACCACCTCCAAACAGTACACGTTTTTCATCTGCATCCATCGTTGATTATAATCAATCATTCAAAAATCCATTCAAAAAAGTAGGTGGAGTTAGAAATAGATCTAAGAATATTATATCCAATTTTGATATCTATTTTAATTTAATATCTAAAGAATGAAAATAGTGTACATGTAGTATTCAAAATTATGAATGAAATGTGTCTTTTATTTCTTTGTTTTCAATATCGATCGGAAAAATTATTCAATTTTTTGTTTTTTGCTTAGAATTCGGTTAGTCGAAGTTCAAATGGAACATCAACATTAGATACCCTTGGAACATTGAATAAAACGAAGACAAATGATTTGAATAAATATAAGCCAACACTCAAACGACAACGACAATCAAAAACAATTGTACCAAAAGTAAATATATAATATTTTAAATTTTTCTCACTTTCTTATTATCTAAAACTATTTATTAGATACGAATACGAAGTAAAATTTATCGAAATCTACAATTAGATATATGTAAACAAAAAGAAATGAGTTTATAATTTCTTTTTTGATGTTGAGAAGAGTTTAGTGACATAAGTACTGACGTTGTATTCGTGATTGATTTATACATATACAGAGTGTTTCAAAAATCTAATTGGAAAATAAAAATTGGTAAACAACTTAAAACAATTTTCTTTATTGTTTCTTTATTTAATAGCATGTTCCTTAGAATTTGATTTCATATAATGATTACCATCAACTGGAGATACATAAATCCAACATTATCAAAATATTTATAGCAAACTTTATTCTATTTATTTATTTCAATTAAAATATCCTCATCTATAAATATAAGAATAAAAATGATTTGTCTCTAGAAACGCATGAAAGACAATATATGCACGACTTAAAGATCTTACATGAAATAAAATTCTAAGGAACATATTATTAAATAAAAGAAAACTCAAGAAAATCGATTCGAGCTGTTAACGAACTATCCATAGTGGATTTTCGATTGGATTTTTGGAACACTGTGTATATCGTTTTACAGTTTGTGTGAAATTTGAATAAATAAACAGTACGAAGAAAGACAGAAAAAGAGCTTGAAATAATTAGTAATAAACAGAAGTTTAATTTTGATACGATATTTAGTAACAATAATTGACTGAATAAGATATTTTGTTCATATATATGATATCTCATGTGCGAATATTGCTCACACATTTGACACAAGGAAAAAGAATAACATATCTACGACTGTATGTAGATATAGAGGGAACGTTGAACAGACACAAATGTGACGAATTGGTCATCATAATATGCGAACAAAGATCTCTTTTTCGACATGTTACTATACAAATACTTTTTAGGAACCCTCCGATTCTGTTAGTATCAGTAGTTCAACAAATGGTATGGATCGTTTTTTGAGTAAACCAGATGTAACAACACCAACAAATGACGAGAACAACGATTTAACATTGAATAAGTCAACAAAACAGACAAAGTAAATAGTGTACTCTACATATATTTTTTTTCCTCACTTTCTCTATCAATACATATAAAATTTTCTTCTAGAAGTGGGTTTGATCTATGGTATTCATTAAATGAATCACAAATTAAATCTCAGTATCAAGATTTATCAAAAACAGAATTATCAATGTTGGCTATAAAACAATTTAAACTTTTAAGCAAGGATGAACAAAAAGTAAGAAAGCACTTGGTTGGTGTTTATAAAATGACGAATAGCCATTAATACCTAGATCACTGCAGTGACCGTTGGTAGAAACATTGCAAAAAATAAACGAACATCAGATCCAAAACGGGTGAAGACACTATGTAAATGGAGGCCTATAAAGAATGGATATCTCTGTATTTCCGATGATACACAACGAGAAAGATGATATCTTGGGGAACTGGAGCGTGCTTTCGATTTCATTTTGTTGCATGGGATAGTATTCAAAACTTTTTTTTAACGGTGCCCTATAATAAATGTCTACTTTCTGCAAACTACTTTCGTACGTTATGGTTAAAGTAAGAATTTCATTTTGCTGTTAAAAGATAGAGAATTTTATCTAAATTTTATTCATATATTACTTTAAAATAAGCATGCACCGTTCTATTGGAATAGTTAAAATACTGACAGCCACGACAATCTCAACTGCGCATCTGCAAAATCAGAAAAAATTGAAATGTAAAGTCTTTTGCAAAAATTTGGTTTTAGGACTAAAGAATATAGAATTTTTCGGAGTATCTGGTTGTGTGTTGGTTCTTATACTTACTTGTTGCTGCTTTGTAAAATGCAAAACATCAACAAGACATCTTTCTCAAATGAGGGTGGTGCTTTATTTTGGAGATTTTGTCAAAGTCTTGACCTACCAAAATTATTGTTCTTATAGCATTAGTTACAGAATTTCAAACTGTACACAACACATTTCTTTCTATGGATTGCATCGTTTTGATAATAGATGACGGCGTTGAGATATCTTCCTTTAAAGAAAATGGCACCACACACTAATAATAAGAGATTGTTGAAGCCTATTTTTATGACACTATAACTTTGCCCCAAAATTTGATTTTGTGTCTCAAAAGTTTAGAATTTGTTGTAGGTTTTAGCACTGTGTTTCAATTGCGTGTACAAACCTTCTTCTAGGATAAAAATCATTCTATTTCAATAAAGTGGTGCGCAGCTGAGATTTTTCAGGTTTCCAATATGTTTAGTATTGCAAACGAACAGTGAATGCTTAGTTTTAAAACAATATATGAATAAAATTTAGTAAAATTCTCTATCTTTTAACATCAAAACTAAATCGTTACATTAAACATAGGAAAAATCGGACGTTTATTCTCGGATACCCGTTATGTTAGAAAATTATCGAGATTGACGCTTTGCAGTATTTCATCTATATTTTCTACTTCTTTAGTATATAGAAAAAGGTTCAATATGTTTCTTTTAGAGAATAAAATGGCGAATCTTTTTTTTAAAAGGAAGTTTAAATTTTTGTAGTCAAAAACGAAAAAGTTATCCAGAAAATATGCAGAGATCCTTTCGTTATAGTCCATCCATTATAGTAGGTAGACTCGACAAGCTATTGGCTGGTAAAAACCAACTGAATTTTTAAAATGTTGTTCACTTCAAAAGATCCATTACCCATCGATCCTTGTTCGATCGAACTCATTTTTAATTTTCTATCAGTGGAATATTTAGCCTATGTTTGGTGTATCGTTTTAGATTTGGATAGATAAAGCGAATGAATCGAATGGTAGTATCCAAGCATCAAAACGAAAAAATGAAGATGATGATGATTTAAACGATGGTTCAACAACTAATACAAAACGTTCATCAAAACTTAGTCAGTTCGCATTTAATCGTTAGGTAATTTTTCGGCAATTTTTTTGAAAATCAATTTGTAAATATGTCAGATGTATGAGATAAAACTGTGTCAGATGTTTTATATGTGTAATTTTTCTTATTTTTCTATACTTCATATTGATAATCAACTTTATTTTGTTTTATTTCAATCAATGTTTTGATTAACTATGATGAAAAACAGCGGTTCACTGTAGGCAAATAAAATATTTTGTTTCTAGTTTAGTCTGACTTTATTGTGTTTTTCGCATACTTGGATAATTGCATTAGATCATTTAGTAAGACTAAATGATAAAGAATAAATAATCACTTTATTCATCGTCAATTATGGCTGCTTCGCTCAAATAAAGTGGATTTATACGACTTATCGGGACATGCCTATAATCAGAAATTGTAAATAAAAAGTAGAAATATTCGATAGAGGCAGTATACATCATACCACTATCCTGATAATGGGCTTGAATTTTTTCTTTCGAAGCCATCACCATCCGATATCTTCACTAATCTTTCAAATGTGGACAATATCGATGTAATGAGTAGGATCTTCCGATTTGTGACACACTGTAAAAAAGAAAGCGTTCTCTGGTGGCGCTGATCCTATTTGTAGCGGTCTTGTTTGGCCGTGCTTTTGAAGTGTTTGACTGGAGAACACTTTGAAAAGTGCTTTAAAGAAAACCATTTGCAAAGCGCTCTCCAGTGGTCACTTGAAAAGTAAACCAAATAAAGACCGCTACAAATAGGATTAGCGCCATAAGAGATCGCTTTTGAAAGTGCTCTTCTCTAGGCCACATTTTCGAACGATATTTCTCAAATTTCATTATATTTAATTTTGAACTTATAAGTATGATTTTCTAATTTTGTTAATTTTTGATTCCTATGAACCATGGAACTATTTTTAGTACGAGTCTCAAAAGCCTGATACTATCACTAATACTAATCCAAAAGCTAAGGCTACTTCTTCGAGACAAGCTTCGATGACTTGTATAGTCGTTGAAGAGAAAAATTTCTAAGTTATTCGGAGAAAATCAGCGTTGCGTATATACTAGTAGTAATAGCAGAATAAAAGAGATGAATGAACTTATCAACATGACTTTAAAAAGTGTCTTTTCAAAAAAATGCTTTATGTCACACTGTTTGTCACAATGTTTTCTCTTGGATCACTTCAAAAGCGTCTTTCTACTATACATTTTTAAAAATGCTCTCTTTACAATCACTTTGAAAGCGCGTTTCTTTCACGAAGTGCTCTAGGTTTCAGTAGATCAAAAGTGACTTATTTTCTCTATACCTGAAAGGGCTATGTTTAGCCATGCGCTTTATAGCAAAACAGTTTTCATAAAAAACACTTTTTGTAGCACTTCATTTTTTACAGTGCATGTTTTATTGGTTCCCTCTTTCTCTTGACGTTTACATATATAGATGTAATGTTTAAACCATTGAATATATGAATAACATCAGGATCCGATAATAAAGCACCTGATTTAACATTTACAACAGCATGTGCATAATGGACTCACTGTTGAATAAAAACAAAAAAAAAAAACGAAAAATTGGCACATCGACATGTATAGGTATCCTCTGGCACGTTTATCTTTTTAAATTTGTACGGTAATCCATTGAATCACACGTAATCAAATACTTATTTAATGTTAAAGGCGTCAACCGACGTTTGAGCGACCGACACTTGAGCGACCCTAACAATTGAGCGACTCCGACATTAGACACTTTTCAATCATCATCATCATCATCATCAGATCAGGAAAATGGAATGATTGTTCACTTCAATAACGATGATGATAACAATTTCTTTGTCATCCGATTATGAACTAAATTATCTGGGTGAGGGTGGGTGTAATGGAAGATTACAAGGAGAATCACAACAGAATCAAACAAATCTGTTTTGTAGGATTTCTTCTTTGATGGAATATTTGAAGTTGTACCAGAAATTTATTTCAGTAGTGGTAATTCATGCTAGTTATCATAAATATGTATTACCGGTATCATTTATACTGTTACCTGGGGAAAGTGGTGAGGAGCTCACCTCCACCCTCATCCTCACCCAGGTAATTCAATTCATAATCGGACGACAAAGAAACTGTTAACATCAGCGCTATCGAAGTGAACAATCATTTATTTTCCTGATCGGACGAAAATCATATTGAAAAATGAAGAATTTCTCAATTTTATCTAATGAAGATTTTGCCAAATCGGACGTCTTATGTTAACTTTATTATTTTGTTAATAAATGTTTACACTGGTCAATTAAATACGGACGAGAAATAAGCATTAAATTTCAAGTTACTAAATATTAGTAAAAAGATCGCCGGGCCCTGTAATTTTTCGTTTTAATAATTCAATTTTACATCGTAGATCTTTTTCTGATAAATACTAATATTTTTTTGATCATTATTACTACTTTTTGTGAATATGGCTAATGCATATTTGTAATTTTTGACAGCGTCCTCATAGCACTGAACAGCACGTATATAATACTCTCGTTTTTCATTTGTATCTGTTTCACCGTTACCTGATTTCTCATCCTCATCACCATCTTTAAAATTATATGTTGCAATTTTCATATAACTCTCTTTAATTGGTTGAATATATTGTAAGAAATTATTGTTTAATGATTTTAAATCATTATAGATTTGTATAAATGTCGATTTATCCGAATGTATAACTTTCACTATCGGTAATGACAACATTTGTTCTTTTTGATCGCGTATTTCATTCGAATAGTCCAGAGCAGCTGAATTATCTGAGCATTTAGTCATTATATCTGACAAAATTGATACACTAACAACTCAGTGGATAACCAGAGATGAAGCTACAAAAATCTCCGGCTAATATTGGCCGTTTCAATCCAACGACAACATTTTCATCCGTTCTATGCGCATTTAAGTCGACATAATTTGTTTCCACTCATAGACTTTTATTCAATTTAAAGCGTCCTTTCATAATTCTCTAATGCTTTATCGTATTCACCTTTTGCTATTAAAGCTGATCCCATATTATTATATGTAGTTGCTAATGATGGATGATTGGATGGCAATGACTTTAAGTTGAATTTCAACTTTCGGTCTATCAGATTTCAATATGAAACATACCATTTGTAAGAATTTGTCTAGTTCTATCTGGAACACTTATTCTCAGACTTGAAATAGCTGTAGAAACGAAAATTAGGTCAAAATAGCTTGAATTTTTCCTGGACATATCACCGGAACAAAAAAATAAAGTTGGCATAAAGTATAACAAATTCTTACAAATGGTATGTTTCATATTGAAACCTGATAGACCAAAAGTTTTTATTGCAAGTTCACTTACATATACATCATGACTCCAGTGGCGGATCCAGCGACCGCCGCCCCTCACAAATGGAATTCTAATACGAGTACACTACCAGACTTCCTTAGAAAAAATATTTATATAGAATTAAAAACCCTTTTTTATTTTATTACTTTCAACAAGTACAAGAGTAAAAAAAACCCTGCAAATATTTTTAAGAAAGTGTGTCATTTAAAAGGTAAAAAGATAAAGAAAAACGATAAAACAAGAGAATTTAGAAAGATTAATCTCATTTTTCATTCTTTTCAATGTCATATTTATACTTCTCTCGGTGCCAAACGAAATGGTGAATTCTCGATTCTTGGGTTGCATAGAGCTCGTTGAATTTTATCACCCAAAATTGGCATAGCTGTACAACGAATATAAATTCAAAGTACTCGGATCTGCTGCTAACTTCACCTAAGTCACATTAATGTCACTTAGGTGACAAAATTTTACTGAGGACGTGCTTAGCATTTTGAAACCTTTGGTCCGTTGGAGATTTTGTAGATCTGCACATAGAGATTATAATCTGACGGTACCTGCTCATGAAAGTGTTTGGCTAAAAAATGATGAGGCTCACAAAAGATCTGTTCTGCTGGAAAATGGGATCCTCATAGGTCTAGGAGGCCAACGTGCGTTGTTTTAAAATTTTTTAAACGTGATATTCGTCATCAGGAGCTCGAATTGTTCTAGTTCTGTTACTCTCGAACTGTTCGGATAAAGTCAATGTAAACGTGGTACGTTTTCGAAATAACAAGCCGTTAGCCTAGTTCTACAAATATTATCACTCTTTCACAACAGAACTTAAATGAATTCTCATAGAGAAAATAGAAAAATATACAAAATTTCTTAACCAGCCATGTGTTTTCCTTTGCGTAGAACTTATATTAAATTAGTCATCAGTCACATAATCAATGAATACAACAATAGATTCAAAACCATCACACAGCATATCCACTTCACAAACAACAACGGATTGTGTGCAAACTTCAATTTATCG